GGCGGGGAAAGAGTTAAAAAAAAACCCATAAAATAACCATAAAGAACCTTTTTTTTTATTTATTTTTTTTACTTAGTCTTGAGATTATTTTAAAAATGACCTTTTATCACTACAAAGAACCTTTTGTAAAATGGAACTCTTAAAAATAAAGGTCCCAAAAGGGTGTTTTTGCAGTAATGCTAGAAGAACCATTTTTGGTTTCCCAAAGAACCTTTCAGTGAATAATTCTTAAAAGAACCAATTTTTCTTAGTGTAAAGAACATTTTAATAATCTAAAGGACCTTTTCCCACTATAAAGAACCTTTCATCCAGTGGAAATGTTCCATGGATGTTAAAGGTTCTTCATGGAACCTTCGATGCCAGTAAAGAATCTTTATTTTTAAGAGTGTGAGAAATGCTAAATATTATTCTTCATTGCAGCAACTGATCTATGAACAAGTGCATCTCTTGTTCTCTGAGTCTATCAGGAGGTGCTTTGGTTTAGTTAACCCCGAATTCCGTTCCCACACCAATTCCCATCTCCCGCCAAAATTGACTGGTAAAGCCTCAATACTTTCCATCCCGCTCTGCAAAAGGGTCTTTGAATATGGGCGCCCCCTTGTCCAACACTCTTCTCATTCTCACAAACACACACACACACACACACACACACAGCGAGGGAAGCAGATGCTCAGCGCTGTGTGCCCAGTGTGAAGTGTCCCTCTCTTCATAAAAACGGGGAGCTGGGAAGCCCCTGACCTCTCCTCGCCGGACAGGAATTCGGGTCTTGATGTGAGAGGAGCTCAATGACATTCCAGCATCACATGCTCTGGCATTCACAGCACAGACGCATGAAAAGAGGCAGTTAGAGTGCGAAACTGTGACATTGTCTGATACCTTCTGCCCCATTGAAACCCCTTGAGTCTTGCCAGGGTGTTTGTGGTCATTAAAACTTAAAAAAGAGGGAAAAACAGGAAAGCAGCCCTTTTTTTTCCTGTCAAAAAACAATTGTTGAATTGTGGTCTCTTCTTCAAAAGCAAGACACTGTTCAAATTATTTATTTTTAATAAATGAAATATATAAACAGTTTTTAATAATTTAACCCTTTTTAATAAATACAAATATTTTATAAAAATATGTATTATTATTTTAAATATTTATTAAAATGTTCAATGTATTAAAACTATTACAAACATGTATATGTATTAAAAAATAATTAATTTGAACTTTTGAAACAGTTTTTAATCAATAAAAATATTCAGTAAATGAAACTGAAAAAATGTAATCTTAATAAATATTTGAATAGTTATTAAAAATGTTTAATATATTAAAAACTATTCAAATAAAAAAATCATGTACATTAAAAAAATATTTATTTGAATTTTTTCATTTATTTAATGAATAAAAATCAATAAATAAAATATTTATTATTATTATTATTTAAAATTTTGTTAATGTTCAGTTTAGTAACAACTATTAAAACATATGTTGTTGTTGTTTTTTTAAAGTATTAATCTGAACAGTTACAAACTTTTGTATGTATTAAAAATAATTTATCTGAAACATTTTTTTAAAATGTAATGAATAAAAAATTTATAGATAAAACATTTATTATTATTATTATTATTATTAAAATTTTTACAAAAATTCTCCCCTCTAAACTGAAACCATCTTGTAGTCTTCCTGCATATGAATTTCAGCATGTTGTGTATGAGAGGTTATCAGTGAATGTCTATTTGCATGTATAAATATACTGTGGCATGCAGAAACGTGTTTTGCACACATGCCTCCGTGTTTGTTTGTGTTGGTGGGATTGTGTGCAGATCAATCTCTCCTCAGGAGTGAAAGCGTACCTGCGGCTTTGAGGTGCGTGTGGGAGAGCGGGAAGCTTTGTGTGCGCAAGCAGAGGACCAGATGGTCTATTGAGAGCGGGAATAATGAAGCGTGCTGGATCAGCGGCAGCAGGGTGGGGCGGCGTGCTGAAGTGTGGGAAGCAGACACTGACCAGAGCTCTCACACATTCCCCACTGGAGAGACCTGCAGCTGGACAGAGAGAGAGAGAGAGTCTTATTATATTCCTCTGAATGATGAGAGGCTCTATGGTGGAATGCAGGCTAGTCATTAAACTATCAGTGTCATCTGTCAGTATGGGTCACTGTTTGGAAATGTGAGTCTTAAAGAAGAAAGAAGAAAAAAACTGAAGAATATAAGAGCAAGTTTCCCTCCAAAAAAACATCTGGCATTGGGTGGCCATTGATATTATTGATGATCTGAGTATAGAAAAAAATATTTTTGTATCGGTTTACAAGATGTAGTACAAAATAAGTGAAATAACAAAGTTAAAAATAAAAATACATTTAAATTCTAGCATAACATTAAGCAAAATATGCAGTAACAGAGAGAAGGTAAATTCAGCAGTACCTGTGATATGTGAAACAGATTTGTTTTAGTATTATTTACATAAATGGAGCAATCATTTTACGATTTTGTTAAATTTAAATTTTATACTATTTTATCATTGTATTTTAGTCATTATTAATTATCTTACAGTAATTATATTTGTTGAATATTTGTCATTTTTATTATTTATTAATTTTATTAATTAATTTTAAAAATAGAGCAATCATTTTCCAAAAGCAAGGGTTCTTAAATGTCAGATTTTTATCATTGTATTTTATTAATGTATCTTTTTGCAGTAATTTTTCAGAAAGCAAGGATTTTTACTTTTTTATTAATATTTTTATTCAGTTTAATAATTGTATTTTATTAATTTGTCTTTTCTTTTTATAATAATACTACATTTTTATTATTATGAAAATGTGCCACTTGGGTTATTTAAATTTCTTTATATATATAATTTTATATTATATTATATTTCCTGCAATACATTTCCAAAAAGCTTTTTTATACAACGCAAACGGTTCATTCAAACGGTCAATGTCAGGGTTGCTGCAGATGTTGCGGCACATGCTCACGCAATGATGGGCGGTGTAGATTTGAGGCTGAGGAGCAGGTGATATGAGCGAGCGGTGAGAACACACACGCGTCCCACAGCCCAGTGAAGCCTCTGATCTGAGCAGCAGGTTCAAAGGCTGTTTGTGGAGGGACAGAGGAGGGGCTCGAGCTATTGACTCAAGAACGTGTGAGCAGGATCTAGCCTGGGTTTCCCACACTATCTGTCCATTTATTACCCAAAACTCTCTCAGGGCGGGAGGGGGGCCCGGAACAATAGAAGTGTGCCATCCTTGAGAGCACGGGATAATTGTGCTTAATCGACATTCACAGTGAATGAATTCCAGTCAGAGTGTGTGAAGACTGAAGAAACACTTTAAAGTTCGTTAGAGCAATCACAAAAAATATGGGAAACATCAACTTTATAATTATAATCATATATATATATATATATATATATATATATTGACTACTCTAAACTCTCCAACAAGCAAAAGCATAAAGTAAGTATTTTTGACACTTGAAATGCAATTGTTTCTCAACATTTCTCTTTTGTTCTGCCATGAATTTTGAAGCAAACAACTAACCGATTGTCTCCTTCCTCAACAGTTGAGAAAACCAGTGGTGGAGAAGATGCGCAGAGATCGCATCAACAACTGCATCGAGCAGCTCAAATCCATGCTGGAGAAGGAGTTCCACCAGCAGGATCCAAACACCAAGCTGGAGAAAGCTGACATCCTGGAGATGACGGTGGTTTTTATGAAACAGCAGCTGCAGCCCAAGACCTCGGCTCCACAGAAAGCCCACTTTGACGGCTATTCCCAGTGCTGGAGGGAGACCATGAGCTTCTTATCTGGAAACTCCAAGGTGGACGCTGTACGTCAGCATCTGAACCACTGCCAGGAAGGCCAGAGATCATCTAAAGGCCTCGTTCACGTGTCTCCAGCTTCCCATCAGCCCATCAAGGTGAAGCAGGAACCGTGTGCTCGCAGACCTCTCTGGAGACCCTGGTAGATGATGAAAGACTTTGACAGAAAAACTAGATGGTGGTTTTACCATCTCTTATATTGTAGGAGATACACATTTCCATTTCTATGTTCATTTCAATTGCTTCATATTGAAGTTTCAACTGTTTTATTCTTAATAAGATTTGTAAGACATTTGCCTTGAATTTCTCTAGAGGCTTTTTTTTCTAATCCTAATGTTGTTTGGCTTGCAAACAGTGAGTTTGCTCTGAATCAGAGCTCTTTGTATGGTCCTGATTGATGTTCATTTGATACAGACTTTTGTAAAGGCTACAGAAAAACAATATTTGTTCTTATGATGGCATTCTGGTGCATTAAAACATTGTGGACACTGTGTGTCTGACACTGCATTTAATAAAAGCAACTAATTACTAAAAAAAGCATTTGAATTCATTCTTTCATTGATGTCTACTGTATATATTGTACTTAATAAATAGCAATGATAAATAGTCACCACATAAACATTCACCAGAGACGATATGCTAAAAACAGCATGCCGTTTTGTTCAGCACTCAGCAAATAGTAGGAATGCAAATATTTGGATGCATTAGATGTATTTCAGGTTATAGTTGCACACAAAAAAATAAATAATGTAGAAAGATAATCAATCTTACATAATGATTAAGAGTTATCATCACTTATGTGTTCAGATAAGTTTGCAAATTCCTGAACATGTTTTAGTGACATGCTTAAAATATATTTCATATGCAAACCATTGTGCATCAGGGGTTATTATGTTAACTAAAGCTTTAAAAAAATACTTGAATGAACAATCGAAAAAATGTTTGTGAAGTTTTATTTTAGCTAGTTTACCAACATTTCTCATCTTCATTTAGTTTTAACTTGATGTAAAAAAAAAAAAA